AACTTACAGCACTGTATAGCTCTTGCAGCATCTCCAGTGCAATATCTCATCAAATACATTAACTTCAATTCATCATTTAATAGAAAACCACTCAACATGATCTCAAACTCCTTTACAAATTGTAAATAATCGGCCGGGTTTCCATCAAAACACCGTGGTTCAAATTTAGGGAGTTTGATGTTCCTATTATCCCTGAACGGCGAAACAGTAACATCAACCATGTCATGCTTAACATCAGACACATCGTTACAATTAACAGACAAGTCACCATGACTTACTTTCCTGTTTGCATCCAAGACACTCTGTCCCTTCTTTGACCCAGGCATTGTTGAACTTGACCCAATTCCAAAAACGTTCCAGATATTGCTTGTTCAAAGAGGACTTGACCGGCACCAGGAGAAATGAACGGCGACTATCCAAACTTTCACCAACTGTTTGAATCCGCCAGATCTGTTTCTATCGTCAGAAACTGTCAATCACGTCTCATAAACCGTTAATGCCCAGCTCTCGCTACGCTCGGGCCCACGCTGTTGCTTGAAGTTTCTCAGAAACGCTTAGTAATAACGGACGAAAAAACCAAAACACCGATCTGCCGCTTGATATTTCTTTATTGTTACACCAACATATAAAAAGAATAAGTGAACTAAGTTTTCTGACGATGTTTCACTCTTCTTTCTGAACAGCGACCGATGAGACGATGACTGTCGTATTGATGCCTCCGCGAAAATTGGGGAAGTTGATTTTAAGCAAACAACCATGAATTGATCGTTCAATCTTCAAGTCAATTGACAGGGGACTTCAGCCCAACCGAGTGGAAATACCTATGTCAACCAACTCTCAATGTCCAGCTCTCACTACGCTGGACCTCATGCTGTCCCTGGAAGATTTTCAGAAACAGTTTGCAATAACCAACGCGAAAAACCCGAACATGGATTGGCGACTCGAGAATAAGAATAGAGGGTGTGTAACCAACAATAAGGTTATTATACAAAAGTTTTCTGATAGTTTTCTGTCTTCCACCGAACAGCGAACGATGAGACGATGACTGCCGGATTGATGACTCCCGCGAAAAATATGGAGGAGTTTGGTTTGAGCAAACAACCATGAACTGATCGTTCAACCTTCAACCACATTGAGAACCGACCTTCGTAAAATGAAGTCTCCCGAGGTTGCTTCCAGAACATCAGTTTGAGACGGAATCGCTAAAGCATCACTTGCATCCGCTAGCAAGCATAGCAAAGTAGCAAAAACTAATCAAAACTTGATGCAACTTAAAGTGACTGACCCCACAATTAGAGATAGGCGGCCATAAATCAAACCTGAGTTAGATGTCCGTCGTTCGAATCCCCTTATCCTTTTTAATGTATCCGTGTGCAGTGTTAGTTTGCTTGAACAAAGTGCCCTGTTTGATCAGTAACAGTGGTCCAATTTGTGCAGTAGATTAGGTCTGAACATCAATTCAGCGAAAATTGTGTAGGCTGTACAGGGGTGTCCAGGCAGCTCAAGGTAAGCCACCTCCATTAAGGGTTACACTGGATTCTGCAGAAGAGGCAGAGGCTTGTGAAGAACACATACATGACCTACAGCAATGGAAATGGCTGCCATCTCATATGGCCCTTGATGCTTCTGGAGCAATCTCGATTTTCCGGCTACCTCACCGCGCTCACCTCACACTTATCAGCTCCCCGAGGCTGGTAAGTGTTACATTTGACTTCCAGGGGCAGTTGGCTGTGGTACTTGAACGATGGCACAAGAACAGAGGGTAAATAAGGAGGACACATTCGAAGCTGTGAAAGCAGACCCAGAACTATAAAGAGGCAGCAAACTAAGGCCCTAATACGTCCCCAAGCATCACAGACACTAGAACGATGAGTTACTCAGAACTGCAGTCAGTGACACTCAGTTGTACCACCCGAATTCCAGGGAAAAACAGCAACGGGCTGGTTCCATCGGAATCGGCCAACTAGTGCCAATATTAAGTTTCCTATCTGCATAAAACGTAACGTTAACTACCCTACGACATGCTGAGGTAGTGAGACTCACTGTCAGCTGCTTTTACGACAATATGAGAAGGATGGGAGGAAAAGTAGGTCAACTCAGAAACTTCCAGTCACACCCAGACCTTAAAATAATCGCTCCCCGCCGAAAACTGCCTAAGCCCAGTATCGGCAACAGCAAAATCAGTATAGTTGATATGGTTCTGGTCAAGAGAGATGGGGATAAGAAGGGAGGGAGGGAGTTGCCATATACCTTGACAAACGACATAAATGTGCACGTGGGATGAACCCACCAGTTATTGAACTCCCAGACTCCATATGGTGTCACTTTACTGTAGGCCACACCAAGCATTTACTAGCTGACATCTACCGATCGCCTATCTGTGGAGCACAGCCCTATCAGATACTGGTTAGCACCATCACAGGGATGCGGGACTGGGGTGGATATTGCAGTTCCCCTTAACTGAACCTCGGCTTGGGGTGCGCTCAGGGAAAACTCAGTCAAAATCTACTGCAAACCATTAGAAATACGGGACCGAGTGAGAATGTTGGAGATGACACTAGGTCAGGCCCTAGTGGAAAGTCATCGAAACTGGACTACGCTCTAACCAGTGACCAACTCCTCGTCGAAAAGGCGCAGATCATGAATCCTCTGGGAAGTGTTGACTGTGCAGTCATAGGAATCAATATTGTTCTCCATGGGCACTTGAAATGGGACGCTACGTGACGGTGTCTGTGCTATAACAAGGCGGGCTATTCTGAAATGCGAAGGCTTTCATCGAACACAAAATGGCCCTTGGCGTGGATGTTATCTGTGGATGAGCACTGAGAAGTGGTAAAAGAGATTATTCACACAGCAATCTCGGATACCGCTCCTTTATTCCCAACACAGTCCAAAAGAAGGTCATCATGGCAGAAGAGAGGTACATAACGTATTCTGCAAGTAAAGTGGAAGGCTTGGTTTACTTGGCGAGTATCCAAGAGTCAGACCGACCACGACGTATACCTGGAACTCAGAGACCGATGCAATGTGAGAGTCAGGAGTGACAGGAGGTCATTTCAGGCTAACATTGCCAAAAAACTCCCAACAAGCCCCAAAAACCTTTATCGATTCATGTCGGAAAAGGAACCACCCAACCAGGGGGAATGTGTCTTAGTAAATCCAAACGGTCAATACCCCCTTAGTCTGAAAATGGTGCAAATATTAAGTTTAGCTTTCGCCAAACAGTTAAACGGCAGTGTGGGTATTACCGACACGGACCGATATGGCGACACTATTTCACCGGGGAAGACTTAGAGGCTAATCCCCAAACAAACCCGGCAATAGTACTAGGGAAGCTACAGAGACTCACATTTGGAAAGTCCCCAGGCTGTGACGACATCAGGCTATGCGTTCTGAAACAGTGCTCCGAAGCTCTCTGTAGGCCCTTATGTGACTTGTTCCAACACTTGATGGATTCGGAGAAACTGCCATGGGAGTGAAAAAGAGCCTTCCTTTCTCCGATCTTCAAGATTGGGGATAGGCAAAATGCCACTAGTTATTGACCAGTAGCTCTGCTCCCAGTGATATCAAAAGTACGAGAGAGTATTATTGATGATCACATCAGAGAATACCTCGATAGGCCTAATATACTCCATGAAGCCCAACACTGTTTCAGGAAAAACAGATCCTGTGTAACAAACCTACTACCAGCTTCGGGCGATCAGAGAACGTGCTAGAATATGAATGTTCCAGTCCACGTAGTCTTCCTAGACACCGAGAAGCCATTGGACACAGTTCACCATGACCTTCTTATCAGGTGAGGCAGGTATATGTAAACCACTTCTGTCATGGTTAAAGGACTACCCAGCTGATGATCTTGGCACGGCTCGTCATCAAGAGTGTTGCAGGGTTGCATCCCGTCTAAGCTGCCTGACTCTTCTATAAGCTCACAACGTAAAGATATTGAGAGCGATAAAGTGTCCGGAGGACTCTGATAGACTGCGGGCAGATATAAAGCTTCTGGAAGACTGGCCACTGGCATGACTTTCAACCTGAAAAAGTGGAATGCAGGGAAATTACATACCTGTAGGCTGCATCATGCAAGTTACACCCTGTGCAACGAAAGCTTGTCCTGCACAACGTCGGGACGTGACTTAGGTCTAGTTCTAACGGAAAAATGGACACAAGCGTAAATTACACGGGGATGTTGCGAGGACATATGCGGTCATACATTTTACACATAGACAGTTAGGTGCACTTACTCATGAGCTCTTTCTAAGGTTGCACAATACATTCGTCAGATCACACCTTGAAGTGCACAATATTATTGCACCCACATTGCTTAGAAGAGATGCCAACCTCTAGGAAAGAGTCCAACGACGGGCAACAAAAGGAGTGGTTGGTCTCCGAAACAAACCATATGATGAAAGGATGAAAAAATTAGGCCCATTCACACTAAGCTAACGGAGGCTTGGAGAGAGGGATTTGATTACTGCCTACAGGATAACAAATGACCAGAATCACCTAAACAAAGGTTTTCTGTCATTGAGTAGGTATAGGCTTCCTCGAGGAAATCTCAAAAGGATAGCCTACCTGAGGGCAAGAAGGGTGCGCTCCCACTACTTTCACTGCAGGTTTGCCGTCCCTTACCGATAGATGTAGCTATGGCACCTTCTGTGGACACCTTTAGGCAAAGGCTGGACAGTCATGCAGCGACACAAGGACTGCGTCCAAATGGCCTATCCCATTAAAATCATGTAGACCATTCTGGGGTAGACAAGTAAGTTCGTCGTTCTACTTCTTTACATTCTCTCCCGTCTTACTCTCCTGACAACTCTTACTGCTACACTTCTTATTTTTATTATTACTGATATTTTATGTATACATCAACTGGAAATTTAGTCAGGTGTCTGTTTCGTGTTTTCTTTATTTAATTTTCTGTCTTTTAATCTGAGTAACTTCCCAAATTATGTCTATTATGATCATCATTATTATCTCTTTTCTTTTGACCGGAGGACTAACTGGTGAAAGGATCAACTGCATTCACAGCAGTGACAGTCTTAACACCGCACACTACAAAAAACATCTAATTAATCCCAGCTCTACTCCTTTTGGAGTCAACCAAAGCTACGACAGTCGAGTGGTGGGACGCACCACACAGAAGTTTACCAAAGATCAGGGACCTTCACCTCACAGAAAAATCAAATTGGTTCATACTAGCTCGTAAAAACGATATTGGATATTGTAACACAAGCTTGAACCCTTCTATCACCACTGAGGATTGAATGTAAAGTCTTAGTTTGTCAAAGGCACTTTGAAGGTTACAAACAACCGGACGAATTTAAAGTAGTACGGTGACAGGCTGTTTCAGGTTTGTTACTCTAACAATCTGTCTTAACTCTCGATATCAGGTAGCTGAAATTATTTTTATGTGATAATTCGTTGGTGTTTTATCGTTGGCAACATATCAATTTATTTATCGGTCACACGTTTCATTTTAATTATAGGTTGTTCACTCGTTTAATAAACGGCATCACTAGTTGTGGATCTAAACTTACTTAAAATCCCTGCATCGCTGAAAAACAATGGTATCTGGAGACGATTTATGTAAATTGGATGGAGTGTCGGCCGCAGAGCTTTTTAGGCCTGAACTTGGTTTGACTTACAAGTAATGCGTTCTCAGTAATCTTAATCTTTTCAAGTGATATAATCATTCTTCCTGGATACGTTGGATTTGGGTCTGATGAAGTTGACATTTCTAGCAGGATATCTAAACAAATTACTCTGAAGGTTCCATTTGCATCCTCTCCCATGGACACAGTTACAGAAGCAAAAATGGCTATTGCAATGGGTGTAAGCTGTTGAAACATATAACCTGTTACGTTTATTTCCAGCTTTCCGGTTCAATAGGGTTCATTCATCATAACTGCCCCGTAGACTACCAAGCGAATGAAGTGAAAAAGGTTAAAGTACGTTAATATTCATCCAGTCAACATTTAATATTAATGTAAATATTTCCTTATCACTTCGTTTTTTTATATGGTTAAACAGCTCTTAAGCAATAGCTTTGCCGTTATTCAACATAATATAACTACTAGTCTTATGAATATTTTGAGTCATTTAATAATCACTTCACCTTAGGTCTTGTCACGTAAAGTTTGCACTTAATAAACTAATCATTGTAGTGTTTCTGAAAGGCCACCTTTTTCAACTGGACAGTTCCACTCTTTGCGCGGCTTCCTGTCACATTCTCGAGCTAATTTTATCAGATGATTGTCAATGACTACACCAAAATGTGATTAAAATCAAGCCATGAGCGTCTTAACCAAGGGACATTACGCACGTTGAACCAAAACCAGCTTACGTCTGTGTTAGTGACATAAACAATCACCTTTCTGTCAGTCCTTCGTAGGTTAAGTTTTGAATAGTCACGCAATATTATTTTCAATAGCCCTCGTTGGTTCTCGAACATATGCGTGTTTATTAAGTATTCTGTCGTACCTCACTGAAACTAAAGGAGATGATAATAAAGAAAGACTAGTATATGACAAAGCTATGCAGTATTGAGGCCGGACTTTGTGGAAAACAATACAATATCCAGTATGCAGTGTATCTTTATGCATGCTAGTAGAGATTCGAAGCCGGAAAATCTAGATAACTACGCCAATCTATGCGTAATTCATTGGTTTCATGGTTCGATTGCTTGGTTTAGCAACCCACTTTTCAGTTTGATTATCTTAATATTTCTCTTATTCATTCTTTTATGGTCTTAAGCAAGATCTTTGTTTAGAATTAGCACAACAGATATAAATTCCATATGTTGAAACATTTTAATTTTAACAGTATCTTAGGCACGTTTTTTATAGCATCAAGTGTCTGACTATGTAAGGATACTTCCTGTTTTATGTTAAGGTGATTAAAGTTTTACGATTACTGTAAACACCTATGCTTAACAATGAACGTAGTAGACTTTAACAAATTAATGTAGTATAACTTACTATGACAATTTTCTAAGGTTTTCACTTCTTAAATAATGTCGAAAAATCGTGTTTTCCACCTTTCGGCGCTCTTAATTTTTTCAGGCTAATGATTTAGCATTCATATATGTTTTTGGCGCGATCTATGCTTGCACACCAACCTTTTAACATTTAATTAATTTCTCTTGTTTTCATCTTATTGTCGCTTTGTTCTTTTTTATACTGAAGTCAATGGTATGTTATTAGCATTCGGAGGTTAAATCATCCTGCATGTTCTATTCTGTCACTTAAGTTCATAGTTCTCATACGGCAAATTTCGCCCATTGATCTGTTGTGTGAAGGCACCTACTTCGTTGTTATTGTACACCTCTCTTTTATGATTTTTAAAACAGTCATAGCCAACCGCTGATGTCGCTTTCACAAGTGATGACGTTTATCAATCAAATTTTTGACTGTATCGCTGAGTTAGCTAGTTAGCACATTTCAGCGAACAATACTGAAGTGAGGAGGATAGCCACTCAATAGTTTCGTCCTTCTGGGAAGTGAATTTCAAGAAATCACTATTTTCAGTATTTTACCTTGTGGTTATTTCTAAAAGCTGTGCAAACCAGGTTAACCTCTAAAGGTCATTCCTCTAAAGAGAATTTTCGATCGGAAACACTAAATCGAATCCCTTTCACTGTATAAATCCACATTACAGCATGCTACGTTTACTAGCACTATTAAATTAAAACTGTGCTTGTCCAACTAACCGTTCTATAGTTAACTAACCAAATCTTCCATGTGTTTTAGTCAGTCACTCACTGTATATGAGTAATTAATTATTGTTAGCATACTTCCTATTCTATTTCTATGGATGTAGTGGTTTCTTTCTAATACGTGGAGCTAATTTTCGTTCTGAATGTCTATGTTTCTCAGCCTACTTCTAATACCCACCTTCAATAAAACGTTATTTTTAAGAAAACTTTCTTGAATTTAGCTGTGTAGTATTTGTAGAATAGCATCATTTCAGTTCAAATTATCACCAAAAGTTGGTGTTTTATCTACATTAAAATGTTAAGACATTCACGTTGACTTATTGTATAAAGTAAATGCTTATTTTTATTTCGCTACAATTTCAGAAATACAAACAAGGTTTCATCTTATCTCCGATTGTCGTTTCACCAAAACAACCGATAAGCGATATTCTTAGTATAAAAAAACAGTATGGATTTAGCGGGATTCCTGTAACTGTAGACGGTTGTGTAGGCAGTCGTCTTGTTGGTTTAGTCACTTTACGTGATATGGATTTTTTGGATCCTAGTGATTATACAACAAGTGTTGAGAAGGTTTGTTTGTATTTTTTTTAAATTACTCTTTTTATCAAATCATTTCTTTCTTTCAGAAGTAATAATATTCCATGCAGTCAAACTATAAATATTGTTGAGATTTGTTAGTGACGCAAAAATGTTATGCTTTTTTACTTTCACATCCAGGAGTTTTTTTCTTAACCACAGTTTCTTTCCATAAATTTTCATAATATGAAGTAGAATTTGTATGTTGTGCCACGGTTATCCTTTAAACGACATTGTGTCGATGAACTTGTGTCGCAGATAAGAAAACCGGTTTCTAGAAATTCGTAAATATCGTCCTCAGTTGTTTTATGCTTTTAGGCTGTTTCACTTCTTATTCGATAATGATTTGCTTATTGTGACTACACTTGTGCAGCACATACGCCTCGCAAAGTATTTTTTAGATGATGTAATGTCAATTGATTTTCAGAAATTATATCAGACTGCATCCGAAGCAGTATAATGGAGAACGAACAAAATAAAATGAATTAAAGAAGTGAAAGAATTATGAAGTGATATAGAATAACATGGAACAATTGCATAACCATCAATACTGACTTGACAGTTTTAATATTCAATTTCATCATAGATGTACTGATGGACCTAGCCCTAACTCACTTCAGAGACAGGGATTGACTTGCTACCAGGGAATAATTTCGTTGACTTAAAATATGCAGACGATATAGTCCTTCTAGGCGAGGACGCTGACATAATGCAGAGTCTTCTGAACACCTTGAGCTGCAATCTACGAATGTTTGGCATGCGATTCGCTCCCGCCAAATGCAAGGTGATGTTACAGGACCGGACCACACCGACTCCTAGTTTAGAAATAGGGATTGAAGTGATAGAGCACGTTGCCGTTTCCTGGTCGGGGTCCTCGGGACGGTAAAAGCCAATGGTTGGAAACAATTGGTGATATGGCTCAAAATTGTTCTCAATGGCTGGCGCAGATGCATCCACTCCTTGTGACTTATGATTTCCAATGAAACTGTTTTGTTCTCCGTCATTACTCTTCCTTTGTCTCACACCTCTGTTTACTGTCTCTATTATGCATTTCATGTACTTTCTTCACTTGCTTTGTGTGTTACATGGAGTGTGGCAACTTGAACTGCCGCACGTATGTAAAAAGTTCTATATCGAAAACAGACAGACAGACAGATTTACAAGACAGCTGTAATCCATTAGTTTACACCTATTATTCTTTTATTCAGACAAATAAATACCAATTTTACAATTGAGCAAATCTTATTTTAGCTAATTTAATTGGTGTCCCTTTTAGTTCACTCCCACCCAGAAAAGAATTATAGATCAGGTCATTCGGCTGCTTTAAATGCAACCGGTAACTGTTCACTACCTGGTCAGTCAACACTGTGGTTTAATTTCTTGATTGTCGAAACTTATATATATATATAGTTATATTGTTTTTGATTTACTTATTGTTTCATTGTTACAGTATTCTTCCATTTATAAGAAATGTAGTTCAGAGCTCTTACGCATTCCATTTTTAGGTAATGACCCCTTTCGACGAGCTTGTTACAGCTTTCTCTGGTGTCACTTTGACTGAAGCGAATGATATTCTTCGGAAAAGTAAAAGAGGTAATTGTGCAAGCATTAGAGTTATATTTTTTCATTGCCAGTCTCTTTTTAGTAAATCTTGCCTTAATGATACTTAGTAGAATTTTCTTAACTTTGATTACGGTTTATCTTGCCAACATGAGTTTTGAAGAAATGGTAGTGGAAAAATAGACATGATTAAAGTGTATACATAATCAAGCGTTAGTTAATTCAGTAGTACCTTATATACTTTCGCTGTTTTGTCGTAAGTTTATACGTACCGATGAGTTATTACATTTATTAGTCTCAATAGTTTTGCTGCATAATAAATGTAGAATGCTAAATAATTTGCATTCAATCATTGAAAGCTTTTTGTTTATTTGATGGATATTCAGTTACTTTTTCAATGCATCAGCTTATTTTCAATAAGGGGGAAGTGATGGTAGAATATGTAATAGCAGAGATAGTATGTATTTTGGAGTTGTGATGGATTCTAATTGCGTTTAGAAATTGCGATGTTGCAAATTCACTATGAACACTTGAATCATTACGGTTGGCATAAAACAATGTCATCTTCACTCCTGTTAGTGAATACAGTCTTATGTAATGTTATGCTACATGCCTCTGCATTCAACAATCGTGATTAATGTGTTGTGTCTAATAACACTACCTAGGCCCCCGAAACCTAATATACTAAGTAACATTTAGGCTGTAAGTTAAGTTACTGGAGAAATTGCTTGTAGAGTTCCTCCGAAAATATAATGCCTAGTGATTATTTATCATAAGCTTACTTTTGCGCGTGCAGCGATGTAGCTCATCAGCCTAAGCATTCGACTTTCGACCAGTAGGTTTAGGTTTAGAATCTCTCTTCCCATAGTTCCTCCTTCCTTGGAAACTCGATAGTGTCATGTTGTGACTTATAGCTTAAAGGTGCGTACAAACACTCTGGATACGAATCAGAAGTATAAAATCTCTTTGATTGGACACTAGGTAGAAAGTAACTAGTGGTATGAATCTAGTCCTTCGTTTGGTCCAGACTGAATTCTGTCAGTCAAGTTTGCAATGTGGTCACCATGCTAGGTGGGTCAGTATCACGGTAAACTCTGAATTGACGTTAGATTGTTGGTAGGCAGACCTGGACACCTAGGCTTCATCCTCGTTGGCACTCGTCAGCAAGGTGTATCCGCAGTTTCGAAGGCACTCATGTCCCTTGTGAGATTCGAACCCGTGTCATCCAGTACTGTAGTGGGAGACATTACCACCGAACTATTCAGGCACCAAACAAAAGATTAGAAGCATGACATAAGTTACTACCTAGTGCCCAACCAAAGTATCCAATACAGTTCTATGGGAGGTCAATCGCAAGCCCAAATAGATCGCTTTTAAGGTGTCCGAATCCGACGCTACGTGACGTGGCTTCTAATCTCACAGTCTTTCAAGACTGTAGATACGCCTTACTGACTGGTGAGTATCAACAGGCACGAGATCCTAGACTGAAGGTTTCCTGCCAAATGCCCTTCAACCATCTAATAACGTAGGTATAAAATTTCTGTTGGCTTGGTGATAAAAGTTATTAGCATTATGGTATGTATATTTGTCAGAATAGTTAGTGAACTCATTCAGTGGTAAATGTATATGCGTCTACTCGTTCATAAAATAGCAACTCGTGTTTCTTAATTGTTTTAAGCACTCTTCACCCACTTATAGCCCATTGCTTATAATATTTTTAACTCATGTACTTGACACTAAGCTAAACTTGTTTTGTATATGAAGGCGTTATTGGTAATACCCAGTTGGCAGGCTAGAGTAGGTTAGGGCAAGTGCTTACGCCACTGGTCCACACCTTTGCTATCTGTTTATTGTACACAAAACGGAGTAAAGAATATGCATGGTAGCTAAGTTGTTTGTGAAAATGGTTGACATGATGGTTACTTGCAAAGTAAAGAAATAGCTAAACTAATAGAGAGTTAGAAGTCTCATTGGATTCATAAATTTCTGTGGTACGCTTTAAGATTCTTTAAGTGTAACTTGTCATGTTTTCAATTATCAGGTGATTCATCAGGGTAGAATTATATAGTCTTCAGAAAACTGTGGTTGTTACGTGTAAAATATGATATGCTTTAGCGGAAACTAGTGAATTAGTTAATGTTTTAATCGATAGGATTATCAGCCACAATACTGGTTATGCAGAAAAGCAGAACGCTAAGACTACAGTTCAGTTCATGTTGGCTAGAAATGTATTAAATCAAGTTATAGGCACCTACACATTTCTTGAAGAAAGTAAATTAATAAATACACCGATTTAAGATTCAGTTAATGCATGTATATTGATTGCTTTTGTTTTATGTTTTATGATGTATCTAGGTAAACTGCCAATCATCAATGAAAACGGTGAATTGGTGTCATTAATTGCACGAACTGATTTAAAAAAGAATCGGGATTATCCTTTGGCGTCCAAAGATTCAGAGTTAGTTTATGCTTTTCTAAGCTTCTTATGTTACTTATTATACGTAAAAGAAAGCCTGTATGACTGCATCAGTGTAGTTGTTAAGGTTGAACCAATAGTTAAAGAAGTACTGAATGTTCTTCATATACTCATTAATGAAGTTGTATTGTACCAGTCGACAGTTTGTAATAAAAATACTATAACAAGAACTTGGGGGTGGGTGGGTGGGAAATGAAAGTGAAATAAAAATCAAACGAAAAATAGGGGGAACAAATGATACGACCGAAAAAAACAAGGAGTTACCGAGGTGGCAGTTACTTGGGTCACTGAAGTCCATTTTTAGGAATTATTATGTGGTTGGAGGCAATCGCCAGGAAGTCTTTCTGACGGGTGCCAACAAGCACGAGACACAGTTCCAAGGCTTCATACCTATTGCCTCCAATTATCTAATAAAAATAATTCAAATTGCATTGTGATGGCGAGTGATCTAACATGGCGGCAACATTGAAAACTTGACTGACAGAATTCAGTCTGCACCAAACGAAGAACTAGACTGATGACACTAGTTACTTACTACCCAGTGTTGAATCAAAGGTCAGGAATTGTTATTTAACATTTATTTAAAGGACTATATACTTCGACGCTAGGAGTTAGTGAACAAAAAGTCGTAAACGTAGACTTCATACTTGTTAGTATTCACATGTGCGTCACAGTGGCACAGTGGTTAGGACTCTCGCCGACCATGCCCATGGTCCGAGGTTCGGTTGCCTGCCGGCGCACACCTGATATCTATGGTCGGCCTGCAAAATTTGGGCTACCAATATCAATGCTGAAAATTCCATACTTGTACCAAAAATACGGCGTGGAATCAAGCTGTAAATCAAAAAAAAAGAAAAAAAACTCGTTCCATACAAGATTTGAATGCCCTTCATCTGTTGCTAAAGCTAAAGAATTTATCACTTTATGAATACGGCGTATTGTCAGGATGCAGAACTGGGTGGAGAACGCCGCTCGGAACAATCTGGATTCAGGAAAGGCAAATCAATTAGCTGATCAAATGGCGACCCTACGCATGGTCATCGAAAAAAGCGTAGAATGACAGTGAAACCTGTGTCTTAACTCTATCGACTTTGTAAAGGTCTTCGACAGCGTTAACTGAGAAGTAATTTGGAAACTGCTTCAACGCTACGCATTGCAGTGCTCAAGTCTTTATCAACCTCATTCAACAGCTGGCTATATGACAATACCACGTGTCAGGGGATCCACAACGAAAAACTCAGCGAAGCCTTTCAGGTAAAAAAAAGTAGTAAGAAAAGACTGCTGCTTATTATTATCATCACCGATGTTATTCCTAATTGTGGTGGACTGGATTATTTTGCTTCAGACTTTGCGGGGATTAAGTGAGAAGACAGGACTACTCTGGACCGATAAAAAGAACCTAGAAGATATTCATTAACGTCTGGATGGGGTTTATTCATGAGTTAAGGTGTGGATTTCGCAGGTAATTTATGTTTAATGTCACACAAACTTGAAACCTGACAGGAGAAATGCAGCAAACTGGTTGAAGAAGCACGTGGCGAAGACAGGATTCCAGGTGAACATAGAAACGACGGAGATGAAGATAAAAACCAACAGGAACCAGCACCAATCACCATCAACGGGATAGATTTGACAGAGGTCACTTCCTTCACTTATCTAGGAAGCACGATTTCAACCACAAGCGGCGGAACGGATGAAGATATCAAAGCAGGCTAGAATTGGGAAGGTAAGATACACCTTCACCAACCTGAAACCAGTCTGGAAATCTTCTGCGCTCCTCCTCGGCATAAAGAAGAAGATCCGGATTTTCAACACAAATTTTGAAGTTCATCCTTCCGTACGGGTCAGAAACTTTCAGTAAGTGTCACGAAAAGGATTCTTGACAGGTTGCAAACTTTTATCAACAGCTGCCTTCTCTGTCTGCATACTGAAGATGAAATGGTCGGCCAGAAAGACAGAAAGTAACTAAAGACTCTGCCTGTCGATTGATGAACAAATATGCAGAAGAAAATGGAAGTGGATCGGGCCTACGTCGAGGAGGCCTTCAAATGACATTGCCCACCAGACCATCGCTTGAGTAGAATCCAAATGGGAAGTGACAAGTGGGTCATCAGTGCGAGGTTGACATGGAGATCGTGTGGTGAGGAGGAGATTAGAGATTATTGGCAGTCGTGGGGCCAGCTAAAAAGGATAGCAGAAAATAGAACAAAGTGGAGATGTGTTGTTGAAGCCCAATGTTCCACTCGGAACCCAAGGGAATAATAAGGATAGTAATAATTGTCAGGATTTATAGTAGTTTCGAATATCCTATTTCTGCAGCCACATTGTATGTCCAGTCTTTGGATTTCAATCAACACTTCGTACTAGATGGCTTTATTGCTTATCATTTAGTGACTCATTCACATACAACAGAGGGTTGGCTATAATGTGAACTTTAAACCTGAGTAATGGTTTTTAAGGGTATCCCTAGCTTTGTTACTATATACAATTTAAGTCTGATAGTGTTCAGTATGAAAGATTTGTGTCGATAAGATGCGTTTATTCTGCACCTTTTTATCGTCTTTGCTTTACAGAAATCAGCTTATTGTAGGCGCAGCAGTTTCCACACAGAAGGGATCTTTCACTCGTGTTGAGGCATTAGTTAACGCTGGAGTCGATGCACTTATTGTTGTAAGTAGTATTTTATCTCATCGGTTTTTAATATATATGTGTAGAACTCGGGTACTGTGGTAGTAAGTAATTCTATATTAGTTTGTTTGTTAGACAATATATCACACGGTGAAACAGTATTATCTACTGAATGACGTTTCGTAGACAAATAGGAGAGAACAAAAAACACTATAAAACTCAAGTTCCGGAGTCGTGTGATTATAATTGATGACATGATTATGAACAATAAATTATGTTCGAAACTTTGTCATCCAGTAAATAATACTGTTTTACTGTGTGATATATCTATTTAATAAACAAACTAAAATGGAATTAATTATCGGTTTTTATTATTTTTTATTTTTTTCTATAATCTTATCACTAGCCCAATATTATTTGTTTTCGGAATAATTATGAATATAGATATTTCGGCATGCTTGACAGCGAATATTTTCTCGGCTGCAAACAAAGTTTACTCGTGACTTTCCCGGGCATTTGTTATGTTTTTATGACATTCATCAAGATTATGGCTATCGGTATTAGAGGCAAAAGGTATGTATGTGCTAAGAATTTTGTATTAGAGTGACTGTAACTTTTTGGTGACCTTTGTATACTACTGAAATCATTCAAGGTCGAAAATTATGGGGAAACTGGTAAGTTTTCTCACAAAGATGAAATAAACCGAGGTAATGAGTGGTTCTCTTATCTACAAGTCATATGTACTATATAGTATTCTAGCCAAACGTTCTGTAAATCACACGAGGAAACAGTATTGTCTACTAGATAATGTTTCAAACGTCTGACTTCACAATCATATTGAGTATAACTCTGCATCATTGAAGCCTCGTTTTAACAGTCCTAGTTCTTTTTCCCATTTGTCATGGGGACTACTGGGACAACTCAATTACCCAGTACTAGGCTATGAGCCACACTTATTGTGTAACGGCTAATGATACTACTCAGTTTCCCAGGCTAAAGTAAGTGGAGAGAGGGGCTCGAGCCTAGGACCACTTGGCTGGTTGTCTTATGCTTAAGCCGGTGAACAATATTTCCACACAAGATTTTCTAGATAGTATGGAATGATAGTGGTCAAGTTTAACATTTTCATCAATTCTAGTTGAATTGAATGGCTTACTTTTCCTACTCACATACTTCAATCTAGACGGTTTTGTTGGTGTTGTTGTTGTCGAACAAATCTTAAACTGGTTATGATATGTAACCTTCTTCATAAAAAGTAATCCATTGTTGAAAAATGATCAGAATAATCAAATCGTAAGATGGCGTGAGTCGTAGTTGCGATGTGCTGTATGATATGCAGACTGAGAACAATACAAAAATTAAATACAAACTTCTGGTGAGGGTTGAAGTTCTCTCTGAAAGGTGAATTCAGTGATGATATACATTACATTAAAACACATATCAGTCTATTATTGAATAATAGATGGGGTGGTGACACCATTAAAAATAGTGAACCAAGTGTATATTACAGAGACAAGAGAAATTGTATTGTAATCATCAAGACAATTGAAATAATGATGAATTCCTGAAAACTTGTGATCAGTTACTTGTTCAAATCTGTAATCAGTAAGATTCGACTGCTCAAATTTTACACTATAGACAGTAGGACAGTGTCAGTTAGTTACATTTCAAGGTAGTGTTCCTTACGGGCCTAAAGCCTCTACTTGTGTTTGCACTTTGAGGTGTTGGGGATATATATATATATATATATATATATATATATATAAAGTGTATCAGTGGTGAAATGGTAGAATCCTCGCCAATCACGCTCACGTTCTGGCTTCGATTCTCGGCCAATGTGCTTCCAACCCTCGTCTAAGCACTAGTAAACATAATCTCTGCCTTCCCGCGCTGGGATGTCCCTCACATAAGTAAAAGGCCGGATATAAATATCTAGCGTTTACAACCGGACTGGTGGAGGTACTAGTCTACCTAGAGGAGCTGGAAAATCCTGACTGCAAACTCATGGTGGTGTACATGGACTCCAGAATTTGAACTTATCGAATCCTCTGTGAAACTCAAGTGTTGGTTTGTAGGGATTTGATTGGCTACAGGATTTCATCATGAGCTGACATTCGTTAGAGAACCATTGGAAAAGCAACAATGAGTACTGGACAGCTGTTTCGTCCTAGTTTGGGACTCTTCATAGTACGCACGCAGCGGGGTTCGAACCCAGGACCTTCTGGCTACAGGGCCAACGAGCTAGTGGACCATTAAGCCATCGGGACCCGATCCAATGGCCCATGAATTCTAACTTCAACCAACCAAGTCAATACTTGAATATCAATGAGATGCTCACTGGTGACCGGCCCTATTCAGCTAGGTAGTTTTACCTGGATTTCTAGTGGGAAGTCGTTCCCAGTAGGGTGCAGCTGGTCGGGTGTGAGAACAAATACTAGCCGAAGACATTGGCTAGCGGTCGCGATATGTCGTGAATTGGCAGAAGTTAGAATTCATGGGCCATTGGATCGCGTCCTAGTGGCTTAATGGCCTACGAGCTCGCTGGCCCTGTAACCAGAAGGTACTGGGTTCGAGCCGCTTTGGGTGCGTGCTATGAAAAGTCCCAAACTAGGACGAAACAGTTGTCCAGTACTCCCAGGTTCTTCAATGGTTCTCTAACTGATGTCAGCTCATGATGAAAATCCTGTAGCCTCTATGAAACTGTTTTGGATACCAGCGATCATGGCAACTGACGCTGCTCCGCTGACCAATGGATCAGATTTTCAGTTGAAGGCTCGAAAAGTGGTCCTATGAGACAACTATCTGTTTCAGTCTTGGCGTCTTTACAGAAACTATGACATTTTGCTTGGTGCATCTCTTGGTGCCCATAACGTACCAAATTCGTGTTTGAATAAATTTGATCACACAAGTAAACAGGATGAAAGAGAATGTTGGGCGTGCGGCTAGCAACCCTATCCCATGGAAACAACATCATCGTTTGAGCTTGAAGCCGCATATTCCACTCGGAATGAATGAAAGAAAAACACGTGTACATATAAGAATTGACTTACTTGCAGGCAATGTGTATTACTTATTTAAATCAATTTTAGATTTTCTCGTCGACTGATTGGACCGAAGTGCTTGGTCTCAGATTTACATGTCGGCCTCTTGTGCAGACACTTCGACGATGTCTGCGCATGCAACTAATTATTGGTAGGTGATGACTAGCAGTGAAATTCAGGATGCGCATTTCGTCCTATTTGAGACTCATCACTGGATGTACCTGCATTCCCAAGTGAGTAATGGTGTTCTCACCGAGGCTCGAACCCAGTGGTCTAGTGGATAACGCTTTGACGTTTGAAACCATGGGCACGTGGTTCGAGCCTGGGTGGGAACACCATTACTCACTGCGGGATGCTGGTACGTCCAGATGACGAGTTCCAAATAGGACGAAACGGGCATCCTGGATTCCAGTGGTAGTCACCACCCACCAATTAACTTCTAATGTCTACTACATTTAGGTTTTAAGTGTTTAGAATTATGTAGATACACTTCATAAATTTACTCTCATAAGGCTTCATTTCTATGCTGACCTGTGATGAATATTCAAAATGTGGTGTTTAATAATAGTCATTTACTCCATTTTTATATTGCTAAAATACCAATTGGTTCCTATTTGATTAGCATTTCATACATGAGTTTCAGTGCTCATCAAAATCGAAATAAAATTGTATAGAGTCGTCAATCATATAAGTGCTAATGGGAACTCAGTTTATGTCGACCATCTTTAATCAATTCACTCATAGACTTATTGTTGTGTGTTAGAGAAGAACACAACCATTCTAATTGCTTCACATCAGGATAATTCAGTCTAAAAGCTTATTCATTCATTATTCTGAATTTTCGTTTGAAAAACAACAAAACACATTTTGGATTTCAGTCACAGTTGCTTCAAAGTCTAAACGTTAAAGGAAAACAATCGAGATATGAGAAACTCTTATAAAGCTACTAAGCAACACAGATGGAAGTTTTTCATCATATTTAATCAACTCGATTCACAAAATTTCTAAATCCACCCATTTTTTTTACAGTACACTGTTTAGTTTGATATCTTAAAGAAATTGTACTTTTACAAGTTTCGTTGTTTGTTTGTGTGTGTGTGTGTGTGTGTGTGTGTGTACGAGTACACTACCATTGTTTCATTCTTTCTATTATTCATGATATCATGTTTGTCGTGAATATTTTCGAATGGACCAGTTATTTTCTACAATTAAGTCGAAAATTTGTACTTTCACAATTGTTCTTGTTGTCGTATATTGGGAGGAAAAGTGTTTCTAGCATTCGATCCCTGTACTAACCCACTCTCAAGTGAACTGAAGTTCGAAGATTATTCAAAATTACGAAAATCGTATCGTGATTACTAATAAGCTGATAAGTAATAAAGATAGAATGTTAATTTCTTTACTCTGAGGATAATATAAGGACTTTTTAGGGTTTACTGTCCCGTAGTTCTTCGTTTTAAAGTTTTCTGTACTGATATCATGTTGCAATATCAGTCCTCTCTCAATGCCTTATCTAAATTTGTTTCAAGTCTGATCACGGATTGATATAAGTTAGCGATCCATCGGGAATTGGCAAGGAGTACTGGACAAGCGTTTCGTCTTGGTTTGGTATTCATCAGCAGTACGCCCCCACCGGTGTTAGAATCCAAGACCTCGCAGTTACAAGACAAACTCGTAGATCATTCAGCCACTGGGACCCATTCACATTGGCGTATGAATTCTAACTCCTACTAATTCTAAATTTATCAAAGGGACTTACTTTTTTTTCAACGACGTTGTTCATGAACATCTATCGTGAAATTTTTGCTGTCAATTAACAAGATCGATTAACAGACAGATAAACAATTTAGAATGTCACACTTAGGTTTAACGATTCAATTCGTCACTTTTTCAATACCATAGAAGTAGAAAACATTTGTAACCCCGGTTAAATGTAGAAATATCTGAATATATGCTAATGCTACGTATTATGAAGGAGGACGATGTAGACAGGATAACTGAACAGATTTATAGCTTAGGTAGAGATGATTTCAATGTGGTTGGATCCTCTAAGCTGGGTGGTTTGCTTGTGAAGCTTTCAGTGTCCATCTTGACAACATTTTTATCACATACTTCAATATGAAGTGAACCTATCTGAATTATCCGTAAATGATACGCTGTGAAGGTATTGTTAGAAGGACAGTGGAAGCTTGGCAGTTAAACCGTCCAGCCCCTGTCAAATGTAAGATGACGCTACAGGACTGGACTGGATATTGACTCCTAGCTTAGAGATAGGAAGTGAAGCGGTAGAGCGTGTTGACAAGTAGATTGAAAGGACAGAAAGACGGGCTTGTATCCGATTTTCACAGCATATCTCAAGAAACTTATGTCTAAAAAGAAGGAGATATTCACAAAGTGCAATCACTGGACACCTAGTGGATACGGGTCAATTCGTCAAGATTCCTAAATCCTCCAAACTATGAAACATAAGAAATGACAGCAAATTTACTACGACTTGCTGAACCAGTTGCACTCAAACATCTCGAACCAAACTTAAACATACAGAAAGAGAGTGCAGTCAGTTTTTCACTTCCTTGCTAACCGAATTTCGACTACACTGATCAGTCATTCATATAAGTGATTCCAACTCACTGAACTACTTCTCAATTTTGTGAACTATAATTTTCATGGGTCGCTGTTGAAACTTTACAAGGCAACGAAATGAATGAAATTTGGAAAGTCTGACTGGTGTTATTCTAAAAAATAATTATGACAATAACAATATTGCTCTAAATATTTTGGATATGTTACTGTAGAACCGGATAAGAGTTGTGGAAAAGCATAGTTGCTTAATTGAATTTTATGTTTTCCCGTCGATTGATAGGACCGAAGTGCTAGGTCTCAGGTTGACATGTTGGCTTCTTGAGCAGATGCTTCGACGATGTCTAGGCAGTTAATTAGCATTTAATTGGTGGATGGTGACTAGCAGTGGAATCCAGGATGCGCATTCCGTCCTATTTGGGACTCGTGATGATGTCCCCATCGGGAAAATCTAAAATTCAATTAAATCAATATGACCTGGTTGCACAAGAGGTGACTCTCGTGGCCCAAGTGGTCTAGTGGATAACGCTTTGGCTGGCGTTTGAAACTATGGGCACTGGGTTCGAGCCTCAGTGGGAACATCATCACTCACTGATAAATGTAGGTGGATCCAGATGACGAGTCCCAAATAGGGTGAAATGCGCATCCTAGATTCCACTGCTAGTCGCCATCCACCAATTAAACATATATGCTTTGTTTACAAGTGCGATGTTTTCCTTGAGTTGTATTTTGAATATATCGAAAATCACATCATATCATAAAATCATGTATATCATCTAAGGATTTCATTCTGAATGGTAGTCATATTTGTATCGATAAAATTGAGAAGAAATGATGTTTTTATTACTGTGAATTTCTAAATATGAAGTGGACATCTGTTCTTCAGGAGGTCAACAGAGAAGTTATCGGTTAGTGACAGCTGCCATTTCAATACACTGATCAAGATTTTGATATTGTTGGGTATGGCGTTTTCCTGAATAAAATAGCTTTTTTTACTTAAGACTGCTCACCTGAAGGTTGGTGGAAGGAAACTGCAGACATAGTCCAGTGTTACGATAAGATGATATGAGTCAGACGAAGATATTTATTCGTAGTTAGTGTCGGTGACTCATCACTAGAATGCTCTCCAACCGTATGCATGTGGTCCATGTTCCAATTCCTCGCTGATGCACTCCTAAACCTCACTTAGCCGGTGGTAGTAGGTTAGATAAAGAAAAGGGCGTTGGACGTGAGGATAGTAACCCAACTGCATAAAAATTAATAACACCACTTCTACTAGAAACTCAATCCTTGACGTCATAGAGGGAACATCAAAATTGCCAGGGGATTTCTAGAAGCCTAGCACTCAAATAAATCAATAATTAACAAACACGTTACCATAGATCAGATTTATCAAATAACAAAAATTCAATCACATGCCAAGAAAGTTCAAACTCCAAGTCGATAACAATGACCAATAAAGATGCAAGTTGACAACCAGTTACGATAGTGGTTGCCATGAGATACGTTTAATATCATTCATAGAGAATACAAACAGGTTCATTTTATATTAAAACTAGCACTGAAGCCGCTGTCTTGAAAGACGATGGAAGCTTCTCAGTTAGACCAAACACCTCAGAGAAAACAACCAAAGTAGAATCATTCACTTGGACTACAAATCTTCTCTATTAGAGTATTAATCAAGTTAGATTACAAATTCCTGCATCGCAACTCTATTTGTCTGGTTTGCTTGTGAAGCTTTCAGTGTCCATCTTGACAACATTTTTATCACATACTTCAATGTGAAGTGGACTTATCTGAATTATCCGTAAATGATACGCTGTGAAGGTATTGTCTAGAAAGACAGTGAAAGCTTGGCAGTTAAACCGTCCAGCTCCTGTCAAATGTAAGATGACGCTACAGGACTGGACTGGACTGTATTGACTCCTAGCTTAGAGATAGGAAGTGGAGCGGTAGAGCGTGTTGACCACTTCACTTATTTGCGAAGTTGCATCAGCTCCAGCGGGTTAATTGTCGACGAAACCTCGGCAGGGATATAGAATGGTCCTTTGGTACTCGCCAACATACGCCATCTCTGGGGTAGCCGTGATCGATAAAACGATGTGTGTGCTGCGCAGCAGTTCGCTCCGTCCTCTTTTATGGCTGTGAGACATATCCATTGAGAGTGGAAGGCATGAAAAGATTATCTGTCTTTGATCATAGGTGTCTGCGTTCTATCTCCCGTGTTAAGCGGTATAATAGAGTGAGCAATATTGAGATTAGCCATCGGGTGTTAGCTAAGAAGGGGAAATCAGTCGACAAGGCTGTGAAGTTACACTGATTCAGATGGTTAGTACACGTATTCTCTTCGGTTCCGAGTGGATCATAGGGATTTAAAAGCACATATCCGCTTTGCTCTATTCTCTAAGGTCCCCTTTAGCTGGCTTCATGATTGCTCATGAGGTTTAATCTCCGCCTCACGCTATCTCCTCCATGTCACATTTCGACCTCAGCCCAACTCGCCGTTTCCCACTTGGGTTCTACTGAAGCGCCTGGTGAACGATGTCATCCAACGGTTTCCTCAGCGTGTATCTGATCTGTCTCCGTTTTCTTCGGGTTATTTGTTACGTAACAGGTTCTTGATTAGTTCGTTCCCAGAGTTTCTTGCTGTTAATTCTTTCTGACCTGCCATCTAATCTTCAGTATGGAGGGAAGGCAGCTGTTGATAAAAGTGTACACCAGGCTGTTGGAAATGATTTTGGTGACGCGTGAAGTTTCTGACCCATATGGAAGAACTGACTGACTTGACACATTGGTGTTGTTGAAAATCCAAATCCTGTTCTTTGTGCTGCTGAGTTTAGAAGATCTCCAAACTGATATCAGAGTGATGAATTTCTGTCATGTCTTTCCGATTCTGCTTATGATGTCCTCATTCGTGTCATCTGTAGTTGCAAAATGCACTGCGTCGAGTGTTAGGTAAGGAGGGGAAGTCAGTCGACAAGGCTGTGAAAATACATCGACTGAGATGGTTAGGACATGTGTTACGTATGCCTAGTCATCGCCTTCCTCGACCTGTGGGCAATGTTAGCTGACATAGGGTCAGGCTGGAAAAGAGCTAGCTGCAGTCAAATCAAAACATGGCACCAGTCAATGAAATCTACAACAGTTAGTCTGAGCCAAGTAGGAAGGTGTAGACTTCCTGACTGGTTGGGGTCCTTGGGACGGTAAAAACCAAAGGTCGGAAACAATTGGTGACATGGCTAGCTCAAAATCGTTCTCAATGGCCGGTGAAGATGCATCCACTCCTTGTGACTTATGATTTCCAATGAAACTATATTATTTTTCGTTATTACTATTTCTTTGTTTCACACTTCTTTTTACTGTCTCTACTATGCATTTCTTCTTCTTTCTTCTCTTGCTCTGTGTGCTACATGGAGTTTTTGTGGGGACTTGAACTGCCGCACATATGTGCAAAGTTCTATGTTGAAAACAGACGGACAGACAGCAATGCATTTATGTCATTTGAAAGAGAGACTAGTGTTATGCAATACATGTTTTTGACATGAGCAGCTTTGTATTCCTAGTGAGTTAGTTGTCTTCTCATCATTATACTAGACTGAACCACTGAAATGCTTTAGATTTATATTTATTCTCCTTGTTTTCTAATAAATTCTCACTTTTAGGATTCATCTCAAGGTAATAGCATTTATCAGCTGGATATGATCAAGCGTCTCAAATCTTCATATCCCAATTTACAAGTAATCGGAGGCAATAGTAAGACAAGTTTTTCTTCCGTTTTTTGTTACTTCTGGTACTACCATTTTGTATTGATTTTCGTTTTTCTTCAAACTCAACCCTTTTACATTAATTAAAAAAGCTGAAAATTCCAGCATTCTAAAGATAAGTATTGTGAGATGATATCATTTTGTTGTTTCTCTACAATCACCTTACAACCAGCCAGCATGATTGACAGTAATAAAATGCTTGACAGTTAATCAGTTATATGATATAGAAGTGAGTAGTGATAAGCAGTCGTAGTTTGATGATAGGTCAACTGGTCGAGGGTAGTTAAAGACTGAAATCTCTTGTCTTCTGTACACATAGTTGAGAATGCTTACGATGCATTTAAAATGCTGTCTACACCTTTAATAACCTTGAATATGAGATAATTGAGAGGTAGTCATGAATACTGATTTTGTGACCAGACACTAGTGAGTGTTTTACGATGGATTTTGCTAGACTTCTATTCAGATTAAGTGACTGAATAACCACTTAGGGATATGTTCTTGCAATGACACTGATACGTTCTATTTATTTTACTTATATATGCGGCGAAGTTTAACTTTAAGCACCACTAACTACCAATGGAGTGCGACTGCACCAATAACCTTGAAACGCTCACTGAGCGAGTCACTGAAACCTGGCAGATGTTATCATCATCAATAAAATATGCACATCGAAGTGTTAGATTATTAAATGGGATTTCTAGCAAGTTTCAGCTTAGGTTTTGGGAAGATTAAGTTACGGTTTAAGCCTATGACAAGTTAGGCGAAATTATGGTCGGTTCGAGTTAGATTACAGTGAGCTTTATACAGTCATATATACTGGTGACGTTTCGAGCACAATTTTTCTCCCAGGAAATATTACTGTATGACATTATGAGATTATCAAAATAAATATTACCCACAATGGAATTATACTCGGTTGATACTCCAACCTCTAATTGAGAGCCAACGAGCAGAATGCGTTCAAGGTTATTGGAGTGTTCGCACTCCTGTGACGCTGTTGTTGAACTTCTCCCTATGTATTCCATACCCGAAAATGCCTCCTTCACCTGATTGGTTCGTTCACGGTCATTCGCTGATTGGTAGTTAGTGGTGCTTAGAGTTTAACTTTGCCATATATGCATCTACGCAACTTTAGGTAAACTTGCATATTTAGTGTGAAGTTGGGTTCATATAATTTTCTCTTTTAATCGTGGGTAAATGAAGTGAAAATGGTCGAGAGATAAGGAAAAGCGACACGCCGTAAAATGTGCGCTTGTCAGCCTGTCAGTTGCATGATTTGATCACTCTCTAGTGTTAGTTTGTTACGGAAGCTCTCTCTTTTCTTTGAAGGTTAGTTTCTCTTTATTGTGACATACAATGACGTTTTCAGGATATCTGTAACAACAGAAGACAAGGGCCGGCAACAGATCGTTTTATTGCGGAAATCAGCACGTATTTATATATATTTCATGTACATTATTATAGCTTATTCAAGCAGACAAACACAGTCTTCTGATAGGTTGTTTCTGGTTTCTCGGAAAGTTAAGCCATATATCTGCGAATCTTATTTGCCCACGTTAAGTCTGCTGTGATTGGTTGTTGAATCAGCCTTGTTCATATTTACTCACGGCCAATATTAGTGACCTAGACATTGACGTAAATTAATGTCTACCAATTGGCTAGCAGCCTGCTCTCACCACGTATCTACTAACCAGCCAAACTGAATGTATGCACTGTACTCCATCACTGCTGGAAATCTTATAGATATTTAATTAGGAGACGTTTGTACTAGATAAGAACAAAACTGCTGATATGAACATAATGTCCACCTTATATCTTCTTTCGAAATATCGGTCGCTTCAGGGTCCCTTAGTATCACCAAGTCATTGAAATGTCCAGGAAACCAAATTTGTTATTGAACTGAAATACTGAAGTCGCTTGAATATTTGGATGAATGTTAATGAAATGAAATAATAAAGTTGTCAATGGACTGGTCATTATTGTTATCAATAACGAGTGTATCATTCATTCACATAACGTTTATAGAGCATACAATTGCCCAATGTACCTTCCATTTCTTTCTCCAACTTCTACATCTGCTAATAAGGCTTAAGATGGCTTCCAGTGTAATACTGACAGTTTGCTTATATGTTTTCCTTTGGAAGTTGAATTTAATATCCTCTGCATATGTTAAAGTATTTTCCCGTGATATAAGTGATTGGTAAAGACACTTGAAGTCGATTGTTTGTGTCGTGATTGCAAATGGAATCAACAGTCTCGTGAAGTGAAGCATTGTTAAATAAAGAATCCTTATGTCAGTTGATCACTTAACATCTCCTTTAATGTAAAATACGTTGGAGTTATTAAACGTGATCGAGGCATTTTAAATTGATCACATGCATCCTAATCTATGTATACAGAAAACAATATGGTTTCAACCTTCACCCTTACCTTGGATTAATTCACCTATTAAAATGCTATTGGTTATTAATATTCACTTTTATTTTGTATAACTGATTAATTGCTGAACATTTCATTGTTGTCAACCATGTTGGGTGTGATATGATCCCCGAAAGCTAAAACTATAAGTAATTCTCTTTGATATTATCTTAAAATAAGAGTACTGCGCTCTTTAGCCCCGGCTTTGGTTAGGTTTCTTAATAGAGTAGGAATTAGGGTGACATTTAAAACTACAAACTCACTCAGGTTAAAGGGATTCTATTAGCTAAATTAGACAAAACAATGTAATCTACAAAATACCTGACAATGATTTTGAGGTGAACTACACATAAGTCAGGTTGGTAGATCAGGCGTAGTAAGATTATCAGAATATAAGAATTTAGCTAAGTGTAGAATATTTTACGCCACGAAGAGGAGTAATTTTCTTGAAAAAACTCAGCCGTCACACTGTACGGATGAAGACACAATCATACAAAAGGGTGAGAGAGTGTGACGGTTGTAAAAAGTCATATGGCCAGGGCAGGGAGAACCTGATCACTGCATTTTTGTTTATCCAGTCAACAGCTAACATATGCAATAGGAATGACGTGACATCAATACCAGAGGAGATATCGAAAATATTGCAACCAGTAAAATCAAAGGATAATAAATGGAATGGAATTACATAAACGAAGTTTGGAAGTTGTGTGAGTGTCTTACATGATCACAGCCAACGTCATCAGTAAATAATCATGTGTTTCTTTGTGCCTTTATTAAATAAATTGGCAAAGTTCTACAATAGCGTCCGAAGGGATGCGAACGCACAAGTGACCTTCCGCCGACCAATCAGAAAATAGGAGGATTTTTACATAAAATTTTACGTATATTTACACAAAAAAGCATAAAAAACATTATGCAGAGTATTTTTGTCTAATATGAGATAAAAAGATCTCCCAATTATATTGAGGAGTTTCAGTTTTAAATTAAACCAATTTCTATACATATATTCTTCATCCAGATGACTAAAAATAACTTGGTTTTGAGAGCCGTTAATAGCTCTGATTCTACTTTTTAGTCTTCCCCAGAAACCTTCGATTGAATTAGTATGAGTACCGGTTCTAGGATCGACGAAGTCATCCGAATGGTTTACTTGATGATGTATATATCCCAAAGCCGATAGTCGATCATATCCTGCCCATTCATCCGTGTGAATGGTAGTTCCTGGCAAGACCAGCCTTTGAATAATAGGTAGGAGTGTATCAGCACTCCTATCTGAAATAAGTTCGATGAATCCTTTCCGAATCTGGGTGTCGTAAATTCCCAGAACCCAAACGTTGTTCGCCCTAGCTCGTCCTCGATTGTACTTCTTTATAAGCACCGTTTCATCGATATGAACTGCAACACCGACTCCTCCCAACACCTGTGAAATACTGTTCATTTTCCATGACGCCAAATCTGGACAAAATTGAAACCTTTGCACAGTAGACGTTATCGTATTATCTGTCTGAGCGGCAGTTGATCTCACCCCGGACTTTAAAATCCAGTAATGGCACAGAAACAGGATATTGTTCAACGAAAGTTTCGATTTTCATAGAAAGTTCCTAAAAGACAATTAACTGAGAGTGTCACTTACCAGTACGAACACTTGTTCGCTTCCTACACTGAATATATATCCATTAATGACCTGGGTATACGGCTGCAGGTTCATAGAAGCTCAACAACTACATATCCGAGTACATCCTATGAATCCATTATCTAGGCAGTATTGAAATACATGATCCGGGTGAAATTTGCATCTGAGCAGATGAACAGGGTTCATTTTCGCGCTAGAATAATGGTAAGTTTCCTCAACCAATGACTAGCAAGCGTTCAGGGGCATTTGAGCGTTCACACTCCTGGGACGCTATTCTTGAACTTCGTCAGTAAATTTATTCTTTGATGGAGTTATACTCTACCACGATGTCTAAGTTTTATTCTTATATCAATGGAATTTAGTATCAGTCATTTTGGGTTTAACTGACGTATATATAGAACGGTGGCATTTTTGGTGAATAACACTTCTATGTAGCACACTTTTTGCCTATGACTGACTGGTTTCAACGTAGAACTTTTCACAGATGTGCATTAATTCAAGTTGTCACTTTGCCTCCATGTAGCACACAAGGCAAGAGAAGAGAGAGGCGGAAGATTCGAAGTTATATAGAGGGCCAGTAAGAGCTCTTGGTTTAAATCATCTACATTAAAAAAAATAGGAAGCGACTAAATAAATTCTTACTCATAATCCGTCAACAGTTTCCATCATTTGTATGTACATGTGAATATACTCTTCAACATTTACTTCTATCATTCATGTTTCAACATTTTATCCTGGATACACTTAATAAATTACAATTATTTATGTAAATGTCTGTTCTTCTGCTTTATTAGCGAGAGTAAAATTAAGCTGGGAAGAAGTTAGGAGTCATCAAGTCAAGTGGTTTTCTATTGGCTGTGGTTTATGTGACCATAGGGACCTATGTTTAGAAATCTATCATGGTAACACTGTGGTAAGAGCTGGCTGCAAGCCAA